TAGGAACGAGGAACGCTGAGGGAGAGAGGGTTCTGGACCTGGCTACGGCCCACGACTTGGCAGTCTGCAGCACGTTCTTCGCGAAAAGGAAGTCTCAAAAGGTAACCTACAGCAGTGGAGGGAGACAGACGGAAATTGACCATGTGCTGGTGAGAAGATCAACCCTCAAAACTGTGAAGGATATCAAAGTTCTACCCGGCGAAGATCTGGCTCCCCAGCACAGGCCCCTCCTGGCAGACATTGCGATAGACCTCCCCAAGAAGACAAGGGTAAGAACCGAGAGGAGAATCCGGTGGTGGAAGCTGCACCAAGCGGAGAAGGGTGACCTCAGGCGAAAGATAATGGAAGTCGGTCTCCCAGATCCTAACGGGCCAATACAGCGGACTTGGGGCAGCGCGGCTGATACCATCCTGCGATGTGCCAAGGAGGTCCTGGGCGAGACGCGAGGTGGATTCAGAGGAGACAAGGCAGCGTGGTTCTGGAACGAGGAGGTCCAGCGAGTCGTGAAGCAGAAGAAGGAAGCATACAAGCGCTGGCAGAAGACCCGGAGCCCCGAAGACCTCGCCACCTACAGGAGTTGCAAGAGGCTCGCTAAGGCTGCTGTCGCCAAGGCGAAGAACACGGAAATGGACGCCTTGTACGAGAAGTTGGAAAGCAGAAACGCAGAGAAGTTCGTCTTCAGGCTGGCTAAGGCCCGGCATCGTGCTACTCAAGACATCAGGGTGGTGAAAAGTGTAAAAGGCAGCGATGGTGTCATCCTAAGAAAAGCAGGTGGGAAGAGTACTTCACGGGGCTTCTGAACGAGGAGTTCCCCCACAAGAACGACTCACGGGCAGAGGCCACAGCTGGTCCCATCGCACTCTGGACTAAGGATGAGGTTAGGTGTGCACTTGGGAGGATGAAGGTTGGAAAGGCGGTTGGCCCAGATGGGGTGCCAATCGAGGCATGGAAGGCGCTCGGAGAGTACGGCATAAGGTGGCTCACCAGCTTCCTGAACAAAGGTAACAGTGGAAGGAAAGATGCCGGATGCATGGAGGACAAGTACCATCGTCCCCATCTTCAAACAGAAGGGCGACGCAATGGACTGCTCTAACTACCGCGGGATCAAGTTGACTGCTCATACAATGAAGCTGTACGAGCGACTGGTCGACTCGAAACTGCGGGAGCTGGTCCCGATCTCCCAGGAACAGTTCGGGTTCATGCCCGAAAGGTCTACAACGGATGCCATCTTCATCGCAAGGCAAGTGATGGAGAAGTATCGAGAAAAGCGCCGACCCTGCTACCTAGCCTTCCTCGACCTGGAGAAGGCGTTCGACCGGCTACCGAGAGCAGTACTATGGAGAGCGCTCAGGGAACGGAACGTGCCAGAACACCTGATCTCTCTGGTGAAGGACATGTACGATGGGGCGAAGGCAGCTATACGCACCCCACACGGCCTAACGAAGGAAGTGGACATCACGGTTGGGGTGCATCCAAGGGTCAGCTCTGAGCCCCTTCCTGTTCCTCCTAACGCTCGATACCATGGTGAAGGGCCTCATGGAAGGACCACTGAAGACCATCCTCTACGCTGACGACATCGCCCTGATAGCGGATAGTAGAGAGGAGCTACAGGCCAAGCAATGGCAGAAGGTCCTGGCAGAAGGCGGGCTACGGCTGAATGTCAAGAAGACCAAGTTCCTGAGCTCCGAAGAGGGTGCAGAGCCGATCGTAGACGGCCATGGTGAGACCATCGAAAGAGTGGAGGACTTCCGCTACCTTGGGAGCGATCTGGCAGCTGATGGCAGTGTGGATCAGGCGGTGAAGGCTCGGGTCAACACAGCATGGATGAAATGGAGGGAGTCCACTGGAATCCTCTGCGATCGAAGGTGCTCCAGAACGCTCAAAGGGAAGGTGTACCGAACAGTGTCAGGCCTGCGATGCTATACGGCAGCGAGTGCTGGCCCCTGAACAAGAACCACGAAAGGCAGCTTCACTCCGCTGAGATGAGGATGCTGAGGTGGGCCTGCGGCTGGACGCGACTGGACAGGGTCAGAAACGAAGATGTTAGAGCGGTCATGCAGACTGCCCCTGTCCAGCTGAAGGTACGGGAACAGCGTCTACGATGGTATGGGCATGTGCTAAGGAGGCCACAGGATCATCCGATAAGAACAGCGATGGACTTCGAAGTGCAAGGCAAGCGACCGCGAGGAGCCCCAAAGAAGAGGTGGAGAGATGTGATCAAGAAGGATCTAAGTGAAGTCATGGCCACAGCAGAGGACGCCCTGGACAGACTAAAGTGGCGACGACTGACAAAGACAGCGGACCCTGCGACTGCGCGGGACTAACGCTAGGGAGAAGAAGAAGAAGAAGAAGGATTAAAAGTTCTATATGGCAATGGAAAGGCAAGCTTGTTTCCCCCTGTAAGGACCTCAAACTGTTTTTTGACAAGTTATTTTACTGAAAAAAAAAAACTTGTCTTGCCATACATATAAGTCTGTACTTACCTACTTGTTCCAGTTTTTTCATATCAATTTTCAAGAAAATCTAGAGAAAGCGAGGAACGAACCGAATCGAAAAAAATTGTAGATGTTGGAAAAAAGAACACTCAACCATTTGGGAAACTACGACGTTTAAGGCCGCGTTGTGGCGTGATCTACAGGGTGGCCGAAAAGTATAGGACGCCATGTTTTTGTGTGTAGAAGCCAAGAAAAAGACTCGACCAGGAAACCGACTTCACACAAAGATAGAGTCAAGCTACTTGATCACTTGTGCAGAAGGCGCTTTGAATTTGACGACTCTGCTTTGAGAAGACCTTCTGACGTCCAACGTCAAAATCAGCAGTGCGCCGCAGGTACCCAACGGCGATGTCGTCCCACGTCTTCTGAAGCGCTAACTTCACAGCACCCACCGAGCTGGAGAAGTCTTATGAGTTCTTGCTCTACAACATCCTCACACAGAGCTGTCCATCGGATTGAGGTCCTGAGAGGAAAAAGGCCACAACTCCTTGCTCTAGTGGCCCGGGAAGTGAGCGCGCCCAGGATGGCCTTGGTCGATTTGACCGCGTGTTAAAGAGCCCAGCTTTATTGAAGAGTGAACGATAATTGAGCAAGATGCTCATAAATCCAGAGCAGAATACCGTACCTCATTAAGGTCTTTTGCAGGACCTTCGAGTTAATTTCAACATTTGTGGAAGATGAACTCTAATGGAGCTGCACTTTTGGATGCTACCCCTTCACAAACTACCACACCTTCAGGAGAAAGTCTGTTGTGAACTAGACGTTATCTCGGAGACTTGCTTTCACTTTCTGGCAACAACTGCCTCTGACTTTGGTGTCGCAAAGAAGTTTAAATCGAAAATTTTCTCATAAGCCCAATCCTTAGGAGAGATGCGGCGCACCTCGAGCTCGTGCAGAAACTTTTTGCATTTTATCAGTTGAATCTATTCGGGTTGCTCCAATAAAACCAGCATAGAAAAAGTCGGTAACCCCTTCAAATAATGACTGCTTCCCAAGATTTTCTGGAAGGAGTGACGGCAGATCCTGAGATCAAAAGCGATGTGACTCACGCTGGCTTCATCGTTTGAGTCATCCACTTTTAGGTGATTGCTCCAATCCTCTGAAATGTGCACAGTTTTTGATCTTCTTTTTTCGCAATCCCAGAGACGTGTTGTTGAACCTTGAGAGCACCGAACATGTTCCAAAGAGTTGAAGAGGAAATAATGAGTCGCTTTCCGAAGTTGCAATTTCAGAGACCGTCATTGGGCAGCCTTGGTAATGGGTCGATGCAAAAAAATCTTCATGGCGAGAGTTCAGATGAACTTTGGACCAAACAACTTATGGTGCTTCTTACATAGTTTCGAAAGCTTTCGAATAGTTTTGAAACACTCTGAAAATACTCCACGGCTCAGTGCCAGCAAGCGGTCAAAGCCGCGTCCTATACTTTTTGGCCACCCTGTTTAGAATAAATGTAAAATTGGAGAAGAAGTAGCGCAATCGTGAAAAAATGAACTATTTAAGTGTGAAGCGCATGGCTGCACGCTGTCGTCAACGTGTTAAAGGACGAGTTCACACTGGAAAGGCAACCAATTTCAAATTTTGAGCTATGGTTAGTGGCTCACTACGAGAAAAAGCCATGAAAAGGGATCAGAACCGAAATGGGCGCCTCCTGCCGCGTTTGATTGAGCATTGATACGACTCTGGAGAGAGCTAGTGTAGAAGAGGGCACAGCGCCTCATCGCTGTGCCCTCTTCTACACTACGCTCTCTCACCTATCTGATCACTCGCCACGTGTAGGGCGAGGGATGTCCCCCAACAGGCCTACCGCGCGGCGAAGCAAGACGACGATCTGCGTGCTTTGCTTCGCGCGTGTGCCTTTGAAGCCAGCTCCCTGCGGCGATGATCAGATGATCGGTGGGCGTGCACTGGCCCCTGCGCGCCAAGATTGAGCCTTAATAGGTCGCGAGGTCAACTCCTTCGTGCCAATGGCGCTTCAGTCCGAATCCCTAGGTCTGCGGGTCCCTCAACTAGGTTAACTACTCCTTCGATCTCCATTCTAATCGTGATTTCGTCTTATCAGGGAAACGCCGATTCTTGTTTTTAGAGAAAGTTGTGTAAGATGTTTGTTTCGATGCATTACTAGCATGTTGTCGATTTTGACGCGTTTTGATTTATGCCGACAGTCACAGTGACAGACCGAGACATGAACTTTATACCGTGGGCCAAGTTTCCTCCCGTAGTTGAGAGAGTTGTTTACCGTGCTCTCTCGTTCGCAGTGTATGTGATTGCTGAGTGAGTAGACCACACAACACCGTCGTCTTTTTTTGAACTGCTTGCAGAAGAAGAGAACAGGTCAAACAACCTGCTTGACTGATAACAGTACACCTTACAGACACAAATCACAAAATCTCTCTCGTATACACAAGCTTCGTAAAGCACGATCGTCAAGACGTTCTATTAATGACTGCAGTTCTAACTAATCAGCTAGTATAATGCTTAGAAATATTTTCGATTACTTCTGTCAGTCTGCTAGCCGGTGATGATTCTGCTGCTTACATTGCCATCTCGGCTATCGTAGCCGTCCTCAGGTACTTCTCAGAAACCAGCCTAATATTTCTGAAAAATTTCATTTGCTCATCCAGTAAAGCTGCTCTGATAAATCTTTAAATAACAATGCATATAAAAAGTTAACTGTCCGATTGTCTGGAATGCACTGACGCATTCAGATTTCATTCAACTTTCTAGCAAATCCTCGTACGCGAATTGCTTCGATAAAAAATGAAGGCTTGCATATGCCACACTTAGAGTGATGCCTCAAACGTTGGGGGAGTGGGGTGCTGCTTTCTCCGTTGATGATTCTGCTGCTTACATTGGCCATCTCGGCTATCGTAGCCCTTTACGATTATTATTATGATTTATGGTGCCTAGTGCCACGGAGCCGCAAAAGCTGCAATTTTCTGCTAACTATGGCCACGCTCGCAAAAATAGGTGGCTTCAAAATGGATTCGTAAAAGCTCCTCCAAGGCATCAACACATTTGCGACGAAGTATTGTTTTCGGTTCCATGGGACGAGCGGGATTTTGCGGGTCAGGGGTTTTGAAAAAGTAAAAACATGAAAGTGCGAAATGATTTCACAAGGGTTGGAAGCGTTGAGGTTATTATGGGGCATAAGAGCAGAATTTTGATGAGAAGGACATGCGATGGCCTTGAAAAGACAAATATTTATTACGCGACAATGAGCTCACAATCAGAAGCATCTCCTCGGCTGTTCTATTAGGTACCGGATATCTCAGTGTGGTTTTTTCACTACGAGTTTCGGACCACCAATATTTTAATTTTACGTAATTATTGCAATAGAAGGAAGGCGAACAGTGAACCAGCTCAAATTCTCGTTTCGGACCACATCGTTTTCAGTTATCCATTGACGCTTCCTATTTCGTTGATGTCAAAAATATCTAAATAACTTATGGTATGATTGAGCTCCATTGGGACACTATCTGGCAGGTCACATCGTCCCATAGCAACCGTCCCTGGTAGCACATAGGTCTACTGCTAGAGAATATGTTCAAGGCAGGGGTCACTTTCTCAATCAAAGGAAGCTGTATCCAGATTTCTTCATGACAGAATTTTGAAAAGGCAGGGGGACTGTGTTTCCGTTCACCATGCTTCTTTAGGAGCTTGCGTGAGTTCATTTGTAGAGCAGCAGAGTAGAGAAAAAGACACAACACCATTTAAGCCTATGGAAACTGCGGCAAACTCCTGATTACTCGTTATTCATTCATTTATTTTCTTTTATACTATTAGTATTACTTTCGAACTATTATTTCTTATTATTAGCATATTACTTTGTATCACTATACATATTATTAGAGTATTTTATGTAAAAAAAAGATTACATTTGCCTCCACATTCATGAAGAGAAATGAAAAAATCACTCGGAGTATTAGGTTAAGATATTTAATCGATCCATTCACAGTACCCAGCAATATTTCCAAGCAATGTCCTAGTAGTGTACTGTGCAAACAGTTTAACTATGACTGCACACGCTCACCATATAGCGTGGAACCTCTTACAAGGGAGGTCGTTCAGGGTGTGCCAAGCTTTTTCAAAACGGTCTTTTGCATGATATAGGGGCACATGCGGGAACCACAGAACCATGGTTAATTTTTCCTGAACGGCCCTCTGAATACCAGAAAAGGGGGTCCCTAGTCACACCTTTTTCACCAGTTTTTCAATCAAAGTCTATTTGTAAGGGTTACTGACGGTCCTAATCATGAATATGGTACTAATTATTCATGCTAACTCCATTTTGCGCGAATTTTGGAAACGTCAACTCGAAAAAAATTTGTCACCACGAGGAATCGAACTAGGGACCCCTTTTCTGGTATTCAGAGGGCCGTTCAGGAAAAATGAACCATGCTTCTGTGGTCCCCATATGTGCCCCAATGTCATGCAAGAAACCATTTTGAAAAAGCTTGGCACACCCTGAACGACCTCCCTTGTGAGAGATTATTTTGCGTCAGTTAACGGGCAAAACTAACATGAAGGCACACCTCACGGTCGACTAGGTCTGGTGAGTGAAAAACAACGTAGAAATGCAAAGAGAACCAAAAGGGATAAAAAGAAATGAAAAGCTATCACGAAAGACATTCATCAACAGGGCTTCATTGTGGAATGGGTCTTACATGGCTGATTGGCTCTTGCAGATTGGTGCAATGGACCTAAAACTCAAGTAAAGTGCTCACCTATGTAGTTTCTGCAACGAATCTAAGAATCAACATACAATTAGATTGTGCGGCTACGTTTAAGTAATGTCGGGCCTCAATTTCACTTTCAGCGTTCTTTTTTTTTCAAATTGAGGGCGACAAAATCAAAATGAGGGTCTTTTGCAGCTTCTTCTACTGGCAACTTGACTACTGGAAACGTCGTGGAATCCCCGGTCCACCAGGAACGCTTTTCTTGGGAAACATGTATGATCTCAATGATGTAAAGAAGCCGCTTGCCTTTGTGTTACAAGAATGGACTAAGGTAGGTCAACTTGTGTCATGGCATTCATGTGAATTTGTTAATAATTGATAATAAGTACAGACGTACGGCGCAGTCTACGGTATTCAAGAGGGACTGAGACGAACGTTAGTTGTGAAGCGATGTTGGAATGATTCGCGATTTATTCATGAAACAATACGACTACTTTTACGGCCGTAAGGTACGTGTTTTCATAAGGATACTTCCACTTCTTGCAGTGACAAGGACATTTCCTTGTACAACGATAGAGGATACCTCATTTGACAACATATCTTATCTAGCATTGGCAGAAATCGATCTTAAGATTTTTGGTGGCAGAGTCTTGCTACCGGCTGTCACATTGACTACTTGTTTGCTTCGCAACTTTCAGAATCATGTCATCGGCGGTGATGTGGAAAATGATCCCCGAGTACATGTCTTTGAGGCGCAAGGTGTACGATGGAAGCGTCTTAGAACTATTTCCACTCCAGCTTTCTCGGCTGCTTCCTTGAAAAAGGTAAGTTTGGAAGCAAAAGGTGATGTAAAGCATGCCAGCTCTTCACCTTCCAGTTGATTGTGAAAGCTGGTGTTAAAGTCAAAGGTCAGGATTAGGCGACCAAAACAATCTCTTTCCTCACCCTTCCTCATTCTGTGCGGTTACGCACCCTTAAAGACGGTGCCACGCTCAGAATCCCAAACGGCGCGGCAATAAAGCCCCAGGTGATGCATTGTTCGCTACAGCCGCCTGGCAGGCGCTATGCCCGCCCACTTCCGGAAGTGGTGCGTGGCTGGCTAACGTGTGAGAATCTGCTGGGTTGATTGCCGTATTCGGAAAAAACTCCTTTAGTGCCTCTTCCCAAGCCAGCCTCTTCCACAGCTACAGAGAAACGGCTTTCGTTTTTAGCCTTGCCGACGGTTTCATTTTCGTTCTTCCACTGTCGTTCCGTTTCGCATTTTTATTTTTATTTTTTCTCTACACTCATTTTAAAACCAGCAATACCTCTATAATTCAGCACGTGGAGACCTTTGCCCTTAAGTCTGAAGGCATCTCTCATAATTAATAGGTGTTGTTCTTGTACACGAATATGCATTATTAATGCCAAGTGACGAGCAGTAAAGAAAAAACAAAAGATCCGTCGGACCGCGAAACTTGAAGTATTCTTCCGCGATAAGGCAGGGGTCGAAGAAGGGAATATACCATGTAGAAAGGCAGGCAGGCTATCTAAGGTACGAGACGGTGCGCGAGAGTGTGCCTCCGGCAGTATGAGGTAACGCGACTCGCCCCGCGGCGCGCCCACCCTCTCACCGTCTGACCTCAGCCCTATAGCGCAGGAACTGTTGACGTTAGGAATTGATGAAGGCAGCATTGATTTAGAGTAGCACATGCGGAAATCAAAGGACAGAGATGGGGTCCCACCTCTCCTTCGTTTTTTCTTTTTCCTTTTCATCCTTGTGCCACTGACCACTTTTTGTAATTTATTTCTAGTGGGCTAGTATATACTTCGCCTGTGAAGGCAGGCTTGTCCACTGTTGGGCTAAGGCATCTAGAGACCAGGCATGGAGTAGAAAGAGTAGGCGAAAGAGCACAACGGGTGAGAGAGCACCACAATAGCTGCTGCGGATGGAAAAAAATGGGAGCGGTCCAAGTTGTCTCTCAAGACCCTGGTGCCGTTGTTGCGTCCTTCCGTCGCCGAGAAAAAACGGGATATCTACGACCTTTGTGGACAGCTTTACCTTCCGTGATGCTCATCCATCCGCACTCATTCCGGGTTGTGATATGAGTGAATATACCCTCATATGAGATTTCTTCTTCTTTCTTTCTTCTCTTTTACCCTCTCCTTGTCATTTTTCCCTTTTTTCTTTCATTCTCCACCTTCGATACGCTGTAGTTGCACCGGTGGAAGGTGGAAGTTGATAAACGAGTTCAGGTGGATCACCACTGCCAATTTTCTTTTCCGGTTTCTAAACACCTTTTGCTCTGGAACCTT